ATATCATTAGTTCTAACACTCTTGCAATGGCATAAGGAAATTTACTTCGGTACCCATGGTATACAGTACATGAATCAAAAGTGTTCAAACACATACGGACTGTACCCTGTATTTTATCTTTGATTGTGAAATTTTTGATATATAATGCACGCTCTGATTGCCGTGGTTATATAAGAATATAGAGACATGGCTAATACCAGTAAAATGCCCAAAAAAATAATACTGCGAAGAACTATAAAATGGCTCCTGTCATATAAACAGGGTGGAAGTTGAAAAGCAAACGAGAAGCGCAAAGAGAAATAAGTTTGCTTCTCTTGTGCTTTTCAACTCCCACCATGTTTAATATCAGAGTACAGAGACAGTGCGCCATTTTATATTTCTTATACGTAATAATCACTCAAAGATAAGATACCAGTGCATAAGATGTTCGCATGGCCATATACTGTAATTACATCAGTTACATCTATACATCAGTTATAGATAACAATTAGATCAGAAGGTCAAGTGGCCTACAGTTGATATAGTCTAGGCTGAGAATACAGTAATGGCCTAATCCAGTTTTAGTATCCACCAAACTATTGCAAATAACTCTTTTTTCTATTTAACAATTAGACCTCGAGGTCGAGTGGACTACAAGCTAATAGCCCATGAGGCCGAGCCCGCAGGGCCGAATGGGCTATTAGCTCGTAGACCACGAGGCCAAGAGGTCTAATTGTTTTAGTATACTAATACTAACATACTAATCAGTCAAATAATGAAAACAAATTGAAATATCCTTAAAATAATTTATTAATGAGATGCCGCCATTTTGATTTTCCTGCGAGTGGTCTATCACAAATTAGACCATTAGTAGGGTAGCCAATCACAGCGCAGTATGAGTGCTAGACCATTAGTACTAAATATCTATAATACATGTTCTGTGAGAGATTAGCAGCTGGCAACTCATTGACATTATTTATAATAAAAGACTATTTTATTTTAACTCAGAAGAATGTTCATGTTTGTTTTTTTGTAGGGGTGAAAGAAATGGTGGGTCTTCACCGGATGGCTTTGACTTGGTAAGTACTTCAATCTATGTTATTGAGAAATTGCTTATAAAAGGTATTGGGAATAGGTGGCAGTGGTCATACATACAAATTATTTGTAACCATAAAAGTCTCTAAATGGATGTCATTAGTCAGGTGTTTCATTAATTTTGGAAGTAGGTGGCTGTTTAAAAAAAAGTAACGCTACCAGGGTTCGCACTACTCCTTGAAATCCTTGAAAAGTCCTGGAATTGAAAACTCGTTTTCAAGGGCGATTGAAAAGCCCTTAAAAATGGGAAAATCACTAAAATTCCTGGAAAACTCCTTGAATCTGATAAAATTAACATTTTGCTTTTTTCTGTTTGGATTGAATGTGGCAATTTTTGGAAATCACCACTGGAAACATTCTCAAACATCAAGAAATATATTGAATTTTGTAGTGAAAATGTTGCGTGAACCCTGCACTACATGTATATCGAATGGGATATTACTAACAATATGGCCCGGGGGGTTACTCCCCCAAAACTTGGGTGGGGGTGAGCCGCTGGGACCTCAAAACTCTGACCCTGTTCCAGAGTGAAATCGCTGAAAACTTTACCCTGTTCCAGAGTAAAATCCTGCACTAGCTTGCGTGTAGACCGAATTTTTACCCCATGAATTTTTATCCAGCATTAATAATTCCGGAATTCAACCCTGACCCTCCTCCAGAGAAAATTCTTTGAAATTGATACCCTGCTCCAGAGTAAAATCGTTTAAAACGATACCCAGTTCCAGAGTAAAATCGCTGAAAACGATACCCTGATTGGCAGCACGTCCCCATATAGCGAATATAGGGGAGTACCCCCTCCCCCCCCTCACCCGGGCAATATGGTAGTTTGGCAAAGTAGCTGGTACAAAGCGTGATATACAATAGATGCCTGAGCTCACAGATTGTCTGTCTCCAATGAAATCCCTGGCTATCATTCATTATTTTAATTTTTTATATTATCATCTTATAGAACAGCAGTAATAGTAGCGATGGTCATGCTGGTATTACACTGCAACCAAACTCACACATGTTGAATAGCGATGACGAGCGACGTGTTAATCTA